GACAGAAGAATAAGCCTTCTAAGGGAAAACCAGTATTGCTTCTGCAAAGGGAATTTTGGCCTTATCATCCTGTTAATATTCTTTGAGTATGTCAACAAACATACAGATTTACTTGTACATTCCACACACCCTTTTGACAGTGCCGTTTACAAAAGAATTCTTGAGTAAAATTTGGATTGGATTAAAAGGATAGATCTTCTTGTGGTTCGGGACGTGGTTATGGTATAGAAAGCAAAAGACAGGAAGAACGAAGACAAACTTAAAGAAAGATCCCCAAGATATCTTTATTAGGACTAGTGCTGTTTACCATTCATAAATGGTCTGGAGTGAACAGTGAGGTACTCAAATTTACAGTTTATACTAAATTATTCAGAGCAGTGAGAACCCAAATAGACAATGCTGAGCTCGAAAAGGATCCCTCTAGGCACTGCATTCAGCCAGTTCTATACAAATTGCACTGGCTACCAATTGAGTACCAGATCCAGTTCAAGTTGTTGGTGCTAACCTTTAAAGCCCTATACAGTTAGGGACCAATGTATCTGTAGGACCACCTCTCCCCATATGTACCCCTTAGCAGGGCTGTTGCTGTGGTAGGGCTTTTGGGGGCTATGCCCCCTCAGTTGGAAGCTCCACCCCACCCATAGCCAGCGAGGGGGAAGAAAGCTGCTGTCTGCTCCTCCCCTGTTGCCTTCATGAGTGAACCAGCTGGGCTAATGGCTAGTGGTGAGCAGCTTCCCCACCCCACAGCCAGTAGAAGAGGAAGAGGACTTGGCTCCCCCTTTTAAATGCTGCTCAAACTGTGAACAGCAAACAGTGAAGCCCACCTGTAGTCAGCAGAAGAGGACTCAGCTTGGCGGCAGTGGCCTCAGTGTGCCTGTGCTAGCCAAGCCAGCTCAGGTCACATGATGGCATTTTCTCTTTTACTGGCTGCAGGCAGGCTCACTGCTCGTCGCGGGGGAGCAGTTTAGTTGGGCGGGCAACTTCCAACTTGCTGCTTGAGTGGTGTTTAAATTCCCCCCCCCCTGCTGGCTGTGGGTTGGCTCGCTGGTCATTGCTTGAGCTGTGTTTAAATTGGGGGGGTATTCTGTGGGCTATTAGTTATATATATATATATTTATTTATTTTTGTGATTTACTTCACACACACCCTGAAAATTTACTGGCTACGGGCCTGCCCCATAGAGCTTTATCCTTGGCAGAGCAACATCTATTGGCAGTCCCCAGCCCAAAGGACAACTGCCTGGCCTCGACCAGGTGGAACATGCTCCCGATTGAAGTCACGGCCCTTTGGAACTTATTACAGTTCATCGGGGCCTGTAAAATGAAGCTGTTCCACCAGGCTTTCAGCTAGCTGACAGGGACCACTCTTTCTGGACCCTCCTGCCCAAACTGCCCTCATACTCATTTGATGGTGTAGAGGGCAGTGGTTTCCATCAATAGTAACTGGACTACTGTTATATTTCTGCCCACCTGCCCTTCAATGCAAGGAGCACAGTGGGCTATTATTGGCTGCCATTGGTTTTAAAATTGGATTCTTAATTGTTTATGTTTTATGATGTGGTTTTACTGTTTCATATTCCTGTTATGACCCGCCCTGAGCCTGCTTGTGGGGGAGGGTGGGATATAAATATACAAATGACATTACAAAGAAGTATACAATGATGCACATTTGGGTAAATACTGATGGGGTCTGATGTTGGACTACTGTAATGCTCTCTACATGGGGCTGCCCTTATTGCAAATTCGGAAGCTTGAGGTTGGACTACTGTAATGCTCTCTACATGGGGCTGCCATTATCACAAATTCGGAAGCTACAGCTGGTGCAAAATGCTTCAGCCAGGCTGTTGATGGGCCTCCCAATGCGGGAGCACATTCAGCCTGTGCTGAAGGCATTGCACTGGCTACCGATAGCATACTGAGTTCGCTTTAAGGTGCTGGTTCTTAGGGACCTACATACCTGAGGGGCCGCCTTCCCCCACATGTTCCCCAGAGAGCACTGCGATCAGGGTCTCAACATCGACTCACCCTTCCTGGGCCAAAGGATGCCAGGCTAGCTGCAACCAGGGCCAGGGCTTTCTCGTTGGTGGCTCCGCTCTGGTGGAACAAGCTCCCAAAGGAGATCAAGGCTCTGCAGGACCTTATGCAGTTCCGCAGGGCCTGCAAGATGGAGCTGTTCTACCGGGTGTTCAATTAGGAGCTGCCCCAGGGGAAGAGTGCCCTACCCCTTGAAATCTTAAAGTAGCCTGAGCAACCCATACAACGTTAGATTGGGATCGACCATTAGGATGGTATGGAAGTTGAGCACCATCTTAGACGTGATGTTTAATTGATATCTGTCATTGGAAATTGGATTATTATTGTTAGCACCTTTTAATATCGTTATTGCTATGGTTTTAAGATTGTTATTTTATGCATTGTAGTTTTTATGTTGTTGCAAGCCGCCCTGAGCCAGCCATGGCTGGGAGAGTGGGGTAAAAATATAATAAATAAATAAATAAAGTTGCAATAATTAACTAGAGAAAAGATCTTGGGGTCATGGTGCATAGCTCAGTGACAAAGTCAACTTGGTGTATACAAATGCAAACTGGGGTAAATCCACTTCTGGTTGCTCTTTCAAAAAAGTAGACCAGAAGGGGAAAGTGCTTCTCACAATAAGTAGCCTTTCCAGTCACTGGGCTGAGTTCTGTGCTTCTCAGTTCAGTTCAGTTGATCTTTATTGGCATAACATACCATAAAAAGGATTACTATAAGAAGAAACATACATTTAAAACCATGTATAGCCAGACATATAAAACATAAGGTAGCATAAAACAATTACTCATTGGAAGTTTTCCTGATGTGGCTTTATCACTGATTGTAAAAACATGGCTACATTCATTGATATTTCTGGAACAGAGTCATTTAAAAGATGATGCATTTTTAAAGCATCAGGAAGCTTCGTCATGTTGGCTAAGATAGGATTTAAATATCTAGCACATAAAGCCACATAAAATTGACAATGCAAACAAATATGCAAAACAGTTTCAATACATCCAGAATTGCAACGGCAAAGTCTATCAGCATATACTATGTTATTATGGGCTTCTCCAGGCACTTGGGGAGATGAATGTTTCCTACCTTCTCTTCCCATAGTGTCCCGATTCCGACCGTCCAGGCCTCTTTCTCGAGCCCCCACTCGAGCCCCACCCTACAACTCCCCCACTTACCGTGGCCAACGGCCTCGGGGGGGGGGAGTCTCAGGGATCTGAAACGGGCGAATAGACAGCTGACCGAGAAGCAGGGAACAACGGGAACAGCGGGTGCCCAGCCGCAGCTCAGCCCCTTCCCCACAGAGCACGTCCCCTTATACGCAGCAAAAGGGCCAGTCCCCAGGAGACGCCACCATCGCAACCTGATGACAGTGGTGCGTCCATGCCCCCTGCCCTGGGCAGGATCGAAACGCCCCCGTACCTGGCACCTGGCAGAGCGTCAGAGTGTCGGAGCTCTTATAAGGAGGCGGAGCCACTTGAGATTGACACCTCGGTGTCCAGTGAGAAGGAGGGGAGGGTTAGAGAATAGAATAAAAGGGGAACGAAAAGGGAGGCCGGGGAGGAAGGAAATGCAGAGCGGAGGACGGAGACGGGCTGACTGAGAGTCGAAGAGAGAGATGACGAGGCAGACGTCTCCCATGGCTCTCGCAGGGGCATGCACTTACCTTTGGTGACAGAACCAGGTAGCCGGCCCTATTTCTGACACCTCCCGTTCCCCTTCCAAAAAGGGGAAGCCATTCTCCGGAACGGCGACTGGAGGTAAAGTCTACCCCTTTAAACAGGCTGGGGCGCCACACATAGCAACTGCCTGAGGGCATCAGATAGCTGATACAAAGGGATGGGAAACCTGTGTGGATAAAAAAACCAAGCAATGTGGGAGGGGGCTGCACCAAGAAGGGTAAAAGTGAATGAAACCACCCCATTCCAACTCTTCCAGTTGCCTTGTATATTTTATTCTGCCCTTCCTTCAGGAATTCAGATTCTCCCTTCCCCCGTTTTATCCTCAACCCTGTGAGGTAGGTTGGGCTGAGAGAGAGTGACTGGGTCATGGAAGAATGGGGGTTTTAACCCAGCTCTCACAGTTCCCAGTCTAAATTCCCACAGTTTCCTACACTCTCTTGTCAGAGGAGCCTCTTGTGCGAGTAGAAGTACCATTGGGTGAAATGGGTGCAAGGGGACATTGAATTCATTTTCCCCTCCGCAGGGCAGCTGACCATGCAGCACCTCCATTTTTCTGCTCACAGGTGGGAGAAGGAGATGTGGGGCAGAGAATCTGCTTCTGCCAGTGCCTTCCACTGTCACTTCATAGAATGTATCCCCTTGTCAAGAACATGGTGGCAAGATGAACAGAGTTTTCCTGGAATGAAGGAGAGTGGGTTACATTTGGCATTTCTGGTGTGCCCTGTAATAAGTCCCATGGAAATCAGCTGGCATGGGTATATTCTTAGTAGTGTATCAGCATTATGTGTGGATGTTCTGTGCATTAGTAAATTTCTTTTGCTGAGGATCCATGGTGGAGTTTGTGGATACCTTTCCAGTAATAATGATTGATAGGAATTGTCTTGATGGATGATGTAGAATGAGAAGAAAATTGGGAGTGAAATTACATTATCTTGTGTTCAGCTGTGTAATTGGCTTAGGAGTGGAGGGTGCCATTACAGGAAATGTTGCACAGACATAATATTGTTTTTACAGTGAGACCATTTGGTTATGAAAAAAAGGTCTTTTAATCCACCTAAGCGTATCAAAACATTTCAGTCTTTAAAACAAAGCATATGTGATTGAAACTTGATTTAAAATCTTTCATGGCTACTTTTCATACCAAATCTCACCAAGACTGTAAAGCCCCCCACACACTTTGTAGCTAACAATGCAGGTGTTATGTAAAAACACTGAGGCACAAATCAAGAGCCACTTCTTTGTACTTCTGTGTTCTTTCTTAGATGGTGCTGATGTTTTTCTGTTCATGCAGAACTATTATGGAGCTGCCAAGATGATCTTTTCTGACAACCCACTTGGACTGACGTGTGGGATGGTGTGTCCAACTTCAGATCTTTGCGTGGGTGGATGCAATTTATATGCTACCGAGGAGGGACCAATTAATATTGGTGGACTGCAGCAATTTGCTACAGAGGTAAGTAAAAATGTATAGATGGCTGGGGGTGGGTGAGGGAGTTGTGACTACAGGAACCTTTTTTAAATGATTCTTTTTCATATTGACAATCTGATTAAGTCAAGTATGATGAAATATTGAAGTTATAAGCAGGCGGCGAGTTTCACTCAAAACACTCATTTGATTATAAGAGATAGTGGTATATAATCAATGTAGAAACATGCAAGTACGAAATATATGTTAGACATATTAGGCGCAAGCTAGCTGTCTTGGGAGCATTCTAACATTGCATGAGTACAGAATTCTAACACACAATTCCTGTTTAAATTAGGGTTGGGTCAGTTTTTTTTTGGGGGGGGGGAGTTTCAGACTTTGTGCATTCAATGAGGGAGAACCTGACTTTGAACAGCTAAATAAGCCCCACAATAATCATATTTGTTTATTTTTTTCCCTCTAAACCCTTTACACTATTCGCAGTTCATATGAAGTTGTGAAATGGTCCCTAGAGGTTGGTCTTTAAGAATCCAGGGATTTGTGTTTCCTTCGCTTGGCTCACTTGGCACAGCTCAGGAATGCTCCCGAGCCTTCAGAAAATGCAAACTAGTCAACTCCCAAGCCTTTCTGACCAAGTTTAAGGTGCTTTCAAATACCACTAAGCTATAGCATAGGCAGAGTGTCTCTTATATTCTCTGTAAACTCCCCACCAGTCCATGGCCACTTCTACAATGTCATTTTTGTCACTTGTTTGTCCCTATTGCTTCAGGGTTCCCCCCCCCCCCAATGTGTTTTGCTCTCTCTAGTAGTCCCAGAGGAAGCAAAACACATGTGGAAAGGGGGGGAACCCAGAGCAATAGGGACAAACGAGTGACAAAAATGACAGTGTGGAAGTGGCCCATGTGGATGTAGGTAGGTTGATCTAGGACAATGCTGCCACTAATCACAGTGATGGGGAAGAGGGGAGGGGCTTACAGGAAGGAGCTCAGACAAGCAGAAGAAGTGGATGGCATTTTGCTTCCAAGACTGGGAGCCTCCCTAAAATGTGCCCCCTGTTCCCAGAGCTTTACACTTTAGCCTTTAGGGCTTTTACACATATCCATTTAGTGTACAATGTTTGGGTCCAACTCCCTTTGGCTGATATAACAATAATGTTGCCTTCAGCAAGCATCATCTGTAAATGCTTTTAAAATGTTCTTTTTAAAATGACAGTTTACAATTCTCTCACCTGCACGTGTTCTTGTATTGGTGCTTGGGAATTACAGTATGGGGAATAGGTGAGGAAGGCAGCACTTTGTCATCTTGGCAAGCTTTGCAAGTGAAACGGTTTGTGTCTAAATAGTCAGTTCGCTTTCTCACGAGTAACTGAGCTCAGGGATCTAATAAATAAATAAATGTTCAGGCAGGTACAAAAAAACAACAACAAAAGTCTGTGGCTTTTAAAGCCAAGAAGGTATAAATATTTTAAGTAATAAATAATTTTTAATGAAGCCAACAGATGTGTTGTTCTATAAGTTTTCAGAGACCAGAACCTACATTGTCTAGGGTTGCCAGGTCCTGCACAAAGACCTGCCTAACTGGCAACCCTAACATTGTCAAATGCATGGAATGTTACCTGGAATTGGCACATATGCACACACGTATGATAGAAGATTCGAGTTATGTATCAAATGTGTTCAGCATTAGCATATACGACATTCAACAGCCACACTCATTCATGAGGCAAGCCCCAGATATCTTTACCTCACCACTGTGTAACTTGAACAGCTGTACACATGCTCACAGACAACTGAACTGCTTCGAAAGTGGTTCCTTGCTCATGACCAGCAAGCATAACATGACCCAAATTGGCAGTTGCTCGTCCATTCCTAATACATACATTATGGGTACAAGCAGAAGATGAATGTGAAAGCTCAAAAACAGATACTTAATATATTTCAAATAGTACTCTGATCTCTCAATATAATTGAGCATTTTAAGCTAGGTGTATTCATGTCTTGAACCAAATGCACATAAACTTTGGTGGCATCAAAAAAGTGCCTCCAGTTTTGGAAGTTGGAACTACAGTGAATAACTATGCTTTTTGACTGTAACAAAAGTGCAAACAAAGGTAAAACGATGGAGCAGAAACTCTTTTAACTTAAATATGGGGATCTCTTGCATTAACACTGCAGCTGTGGCTATTGTGCAAATATACATATTATCTTTTCACCAGTTAGTAACTTGCCATGTTGTGCATGTAACTGTTTGGTAACCACGTGTTTGTATCATCTAGCCAAGAATTGATGAGAATTTCTTCTGTTTCTCTATATTTGTGATCAACTATGGTAACATTATTTTTACTGCTTCGGAAGATAGTAGATGATCAGTTTATAAAGAGGTGTCATGGATACAATGGCAAACTACCAATCAGTAAAAAAATTATCTGTATTTGCCCATAATCTGTAACTTTATCTACATTGGATTGGATCCAAACACCCATGAACAGAGCAAATGTTCAGAGGCAGATGTTTCATTCCGTATCCTCCTCTTAGCAGTCTTCTTCTTCCCCCAAATCTGAAGTTGAGGGTTGGAGATCCTACAGAATACTCAGTGATACTCAGTGGCTTGGGAGCCACATTTGGTTCTCTGGCCCCGGTCACACGAGAGGTTTTGGGCCGGGAGAGGGCTGGATCGGGGCTGCAGCAAACGGGCACGATCTCACCGCAACATCTGGGAAGTGTTGCGCGCCCGTTCCCGATCCGGCCCTTCCGCCGAAAACCCCGCAGCAAAAATGAACCACCTACCGATGTGGTTCATCCGGGAAGTCCGCATCAAGGCCGGCCGTGGGATCGCCGGCGCGTCCTTCCGCTGGCGCATCCCAAGCTCCTGGCCGAATTGCGCATGTTCACACATGCGCAGTTCGGCAGCCTCCCCCTCTTGACTGTGTCTTCCTCCCTGGCATCTGATCGTGCCGGGGAGCAATGGCGCCGCGGCTCAAGGGAACCGTGGGATCCCACCGTGGCGTCTCTATTATGGTGTGGCTCTAATTAGCTGCACTTTGGCCGGTGTTTTCCCTGCCGTGTGGCAGGGACTTCTGACATGCTACCTGTGGCTCTTTTGAGCACTGATTCACAGTGCAGCACATGCTCCATGTTTCAGGAAAGTGGGTAAGGCTCTTGCCTGGTGGGCCTTGTGGTTGGCAGGTGGTTCCTACCTTGAAACACCAGAGGAAAGGGTAAGCTATGAGTCTCCCTGAAATGCAGGTGTCATGCCAGGGATGGAAATAATGTATCTCTTTTGGTTGGTGGTAATTCTGAAAGTGGTTTTCTGCAAGCCATGGACTAAGTACAACTTCTCCAGAACAATATGCATATAGCACGAGAGGTGGGGCCTGCAGCGAGAAGAGGGAAATGGCCAAAATTAATCCTTGTGCAAATGAAACAAGCTGGCCCCAGAGAATTGGGAGACAGATTTGGTTTATTCTCTCATCCTGCTGCAGTCCTGTGTGTCATCTGGCATATTGATCTGGAGGAGTCCTCCAACTCTCAACAGGGGCTTTTCATAGGGCACAAATGCTGCTGCTGGAGGGAAAGCAGGAAAAAATCCAAATTTGTAAAGGCCAGAGGTTTTTTGCAATGTGTTGTGTACAGGGCATCATTATCCCTATGTAGCCAGCTGTGCATTTTCATTATATAGGGTTTTCCCCCATTTCATTTAGAGATTGTGGCCTCACTATTTGTTTGAATCATCACTAACTTTATTTATTCATTCATTCATTCATTCATTCATTCAATTTATACCCTGCCCTCCCCGCCAAAGCAGGCTCAGGGTGGCTTTGTGTGTACTACCTACATTCTTTAACAACTTTTATATGATACAAGGCAAGAAGAACTTTGAGACATTAATACTGTGATGGAGAAAGGATTGTATCACGTAACTAATAAACCTCTCCCAAAAACAACATGCAAAAATGGAACAAAAATTACAGGTTGATAGTATTGGATTGGAGAAGATGTAAGCAAGCTAAATCATCTGATGAATCCTTTTAAAAAGATTAAAAAGCCTGTGTAAGCCGCTCTGAGCCCGTTCGCGGGGAGGGCGGGGTATAAATATAATAAAATAAAAAATAAAATAAAATTGATGTGGATAAGAGAAGTAGGAAAATGTCTGGAATGAAATAGATGACAGGAACATTGTTGGAAGGCTGCTCCTTATTTTAAGGAGGCATGAATTTTCCTATCAGGAATAACCAAGACAGTTTATGCAATGTGATGGAGCATGACCAGGAATTTATAGTACTTGCATGTAAAAACCATGCAAAAATCTACAGGTGTGAAAATAATTTGAATCTGCCCAGTAAAGCCTACAATTACAATGCTGCATATATTAAGTTCCTCGCTAAGGATGTATCCCGATTTGTAGGTGCATCACTGTCTGGTATACCGAGTCAAACATTGAATCTTTGCCTGCAGCCATTCAAGCCATTGTGATATACTGAAAAGCAAAAGCTAGCACATCTCAGTTCCAGATTACAAATCCCTTTTCTCCTGTGTGGTTTGTGATGGGCAGGAGGTCGTTTGAACCAGTTACTTCTTTGCCATACTTCTCCTGTGCTTGCAGTTGCCCTGCAATGCTTCCTTCACATGGCTCCGCCAAGAAAAGGATCAAAATATCCTTTCCTGCTTTGAGCAGTCTTCATTTGGGTCACAACCCTGTGACAGGCAAGCTGCTACAATGCCTCTGAACTTTGGTCTTGTCAAGGCAAAGGCCAGGAACTATAAAGTGAACGAACTTGTGAGAGCTCAGTGGAAGTTGGATGCTTTATTAATCCTACTTATGTGTTGAATGTTTTGCTTTACCACCACAAGGCAAGTGGTTGGCTTTCTCCCTTGCATGGTTTGCTTTATGCACATAAAATTAATAAGAACACTGGTGGCTTGCAGAAAAGAAATAGATTAAACTCTTGTCAACTGTGTGAGTGATAAAATACTGAATTATTACAGTTTTTAAAACCAAATGCAAGTAATATCTTTTAAACCTTGATT